GTTCATCAAACGAGAGCTGCATGATGTTGCCTCGGGGCGGACGTCCCGAGCTGCGGTCACCTCAGCTGATGGTCTTGAGCCGGATGGCTGCAGGCTAGGAGGCATTTGTATTCATTCTCTCTCAACTCCAGACACACAACAAGAGTACAATGTGCTGTCATCACGGGAAATAAACTCACCGCCTTTCCATCCTTTCTAAACTAAACTCTAAACTAGTTTTACTTTACCAGCTCAGGCCCACACTGAGGTGTGTCGCTCCTTTTCAGAAGCGACCTGGTTATCACACAAGGGTAGCTCAACGAAGAAGTGGCTTATCACGTGGAAATGTCTCGCAGCAGCTAAATACTCTGAACGCGTGGTGACGTTGATTCTAAATGTACAGGAGGGCAACCAGAGGACCCGGAGAAAAATCCACCCGACCTCGGGGAGAGGGCCACGCAAACCCCAAAGACACACGACCTCCTGCGTACCAGAGGAGGGAGTGAACATCTCATAGCCACCGCGACACCCTCTGATGTCGCACTGACCAGCGTGGTGAAGTATGCCCCCCCCCCCTCCCAGACAGATGCATTAGTGGGTTGGGAAGGCTGCGATTTCCCGTCTGCCACGTTTAAAAGTCAGCTCCATCCTCCCGTGAACCACGTGACTCATGCTGAAGTTCGCTGATGCGTCGCAGGACCACGAGGGGTAGCCAGATATGTGAATACAATACCCTGCTGATGAGACACGCAATGTCGAAACCGCTGCCGAGTTCTGCTTGATTTTTTATTATAAATTCTGCTGACATAAATGATACATCTTCTTTTATTTTAATATTTTATCTTATTATGTTTTATTTTTATTGTTTTATTGCTTCCCTTCTACGTGACTTTACCGAAAGAACCAAGAAGATGGATCCCTGCAGTCACGAAAGCTTTAAATCGAAATATAAATGCTACACTCCCAGAAGGGCGTGCGTGCGACTGATACGATGCGTAGAAACGACTTTGTATTGTGCATTTTAGATGGAGACACGGACATGTGAAGATAACATTTATTTAATCCAGCAGCGGATAGTTAATGACTGCTGCTGATGATGAGGTTAACACAAGCAAGGCTCCCAGCGGGATTTAGCTAATGAAGTCTTTGCATGCACATCCACTGAGCGGCCGATTTTTTTTTACATTTCCTGAGTCATTGAAATTTCTAAATCACCAGGCTGGAGATTACATCTCTCCTCCTCGATGCAGCAGCCGCAACGTTGCCCGTGGGACAGGCAACTTGCAGGCTGTGTCGGTCAAACAGCTGCAAAAGACACCATCGTATCGGGCCTGGCCATTTATACCCAACTCTAACTCACAACAATTATTTTTATTTTACCAGCTCAGGGCTCTGTGCAAAGGAAATTAAAAGCATACCAAAGAGTATGGATCCCTGCAGTCACGAAAACTTCAAATCTAGATTGAAATAAAAAGCAGCCATCTGTTGGAGCAATCGGTGCAGTGGACCCAAAGATATTTCTTAGCTTCATTCATATGGGAGATGACTTATCATTTTTAAAAAAAATCTGTCCAGTTATCTGTGCAGTTAACGCTCCTTCATCGAGATTGCGACCCAACCGTGTTTGTGTTTATCTTCTCGACCTGTTCGTCAGGTTCCCTGCCATCGCCAAAGAGGGAGTAAACAACAAGACCACGTTTAGCACGTAAACAAGACCACGTTTAGCACGTAAACAAGACCACGTTTAGCACGTAAACAAGATCACGTTTAGCACGTAAACAAGATCACGTTTAGCACGTAAACAAGATCACGTTTAGCACGTAAACAAGACCACGTTTAGCACGTAAACAAGATCACGTTTAGCACGTAAACAAGACCACGTTTAGCACGTAAACAAGATCACGTTTAGCACGTAAACAAGACCACGTTTAGCACGTAAACAAGATCACGTTTAGCACGTAAACAAGATCACGTTTAGCACGTAAACAAGATCACGTTTAGCACGTAAACAAGATCACGTTTAACACGTAAACAAGATCACGTTTAACACGTAAACAAGATCACGTTTAACACGTAAACAAGATCACGTTTAACACGTAAACAAGATCACGTTTAGCACGTAAACAAGATCACGTTTAGCACGTAAACAAGATCACGTTTAGCACGTAAACAAGATCACGTTTAGCACGTAAACAAGACCACGTTTAACACGTAAACAAGATCACGTTTAGCACGTAAACAAGATCACGTTAAGCACGTAAACAAGACCACGTTTAGCACGTAAACAAGATCACGTTTAGCACGTAAACAAGACCACGTTTAGCACGTAAACAAGATCACGTTTAGCACGTAAACAAGACCACGTTTAGCACGTAAACAAGATCACGTTTAGCACGTAAACAAGATCACGTTTAGCACGTAAACAAGATCACGTTTAGCACGTAAACAAGATCACGTTTAGCACGTAAACAAGACCACGTTTAGCACGTAAACAAGATCACGTTTAGCACGTAAACAAGATCACGTTTAGCACGTAAACAAGATCACGTTTAGCACGTAAACAAGACCACGTTTAGCACGTAAACAAGATCACGTTTAGCACGTAAACAAGATCACGTTTAGCACGTAAACAAGATCACGTTTAGCACGTAAACAAGATCACGTTTAGCACGTAAACAAGATCACGTTTAGCACGTAAACAAGACCACGTTTAGCACGTAAACAAGACCACGTTTAGCACGTAAACAAGATCACGTTTAGCACGTAAACAAGACCACGTTTAGCACGTAGGCTTTCGAGACCAATGTCATCCATAATACAGGGTGGGGGGGGGGGGTTAGGGTGAGATCGCGTAAAGAAATAGATGTGTCGTTCAACCCGCCACCAGCCGACACACATTAATGAACCTTACTAATTGGCTGTGCCGGGTAGTGGCGGGTTTAACGACACAGTTATATATTTACGCGATCTAATCCCAAAAAAAAATCTGTATTCTGAACAATATCACGGTTGCTAAGCAAAGGCGAAACACGCCAAGCGGCCAGACAGAAACAACCCGGCTCTGTTGAAGGTGTTAACTCGATAAGCGGTCACACGTTCCTGGAAATGACCAAAGTTATTGTTGTCAGGACCTGGGGGGGAAAGACGACGATGGTGATGATGGTGACGGGAAGAGAGAATTCCAAAGTGGAGCAGAGAGAGACGTTGGGTGACCTGCAGTGTGGTGAGTGGGTGGGTGGGTGAGTGGTAGGGTGAGTGGGTAAAGTGTGTGAGTGAGTGGTAGGGTGAGTGGGTGAGTGGTAGAGTGTGTGTCTAAGTGGATTAGTGAGTGGTAGGGTGAGTGGGTAAGTGGGTTAGTGAGTGGTAGAGTGAGTGGGTGAGTGGATGGGTGAGTTGTCGGGTGAGTGGGTAAAGTGTGTGAGTGAGTGGTAGAGTGTGTGGGTAAGTGGGTTAGTTAGTGGTAGGGTGTGTGTGTGGGTGAGTGGGTGAGTGGGTGAGTGAGTGGTAGGGTGAGTGGTTAAGTGGGTTAGTGAGTGGTAGAGTGAGTGGTCGGGTGAGTGGGTAAAGTGTGTGAGTGAGTGGTAGGGTGTGTGGGTGGTAGGGTGTGTGGGTGGGTGGGTGAGTGGTCGGGTGAGTGGGTAAAGTGTGGGAGTGGTAGAGTGTGTGGGTAAGTGGGTTAGTGAGTGGTAGGGTGTGTGGGTGGGTGGGTTAGTGAGTGGGTGGGTGGGTGAGTGGTAGGGTGAGTGAGTGAGTGGGTGAGTGGTAGGGTGAGTGGGTAAGTGGTAGGGTGAATGGGTAAAGTGAGTGAGTGGTAGAGTGTGTGGGTAAGTGGGTTAGTGAGTGGTAGGGTGAGTGGATAAGTGTATGTTGTGACTTGCATTGTGCTGAGTGTGCTGTTGTCTGGTGGACAGTTCGAATATATGCAGCTTGTAACACGCAGCAAAGTATTTGCACACTCTCAAAGACTGAGAACAACCTCGAGGCGCGAGGAACCAGACAACGGAGCTCTGTGCTAAATATATTTTCAGCCAATGATTGAGTGTTTACACGCGGGTGGAAACCCACTCGTGCGAGGGGGAGCGCTCTATCCCATAGAGACGGCACAGATGGGGGTCCGCATCTTCTGCTGTAGCCAGAATACGGCTCCTCGTCGACACCCACAAGATCCGTGCGGTATCCACCAACCCTCGCTGCCTCCAGTGCAGGATCAGAGGCCACGTGCAAAGCTACCACCGCGTGGCTACAGTCAGAATCAGGATCTGTATTTTATTGATTCTATCAGAATCTTTATATATCCTGGAGGATTCCGATGAGCGATGGCGGGGTAAGTGAACTAGAAACTCTTTAAACTGTTTGTTTTATTTTAGCATCGCAGCAGTCGGGTTTTTACAAAAGTGCATGATGGACTAATATGATGGTGCAACAGATGACTCCGTGTTTAACTTGAACACAAAACCACAAGTCAGACATGCTGCCCGGACAAGGCTCCCTTCTCTGAACTCTGCTGCCCGCATATGGAACTGCCTCCCTCATGAGCACATTGCTGGCCAGATCACCGTCTCTGGTCTTCAGGCCTAACACACACGCACGCACACGCACACACGCGCACGCACACACACGCATGCGCACACACGCACACGCGCACACACACACGCACGCGCACACACACACATGCGCACACACGCACACAACAACCGCCAATCGCCACTAAGTGGCAGTGGCGTCACCACGACGCTTGTGCCAGGCCATGTGCACCTTGAGGCCATGTGAAGTGTCGAACGCCCGCTGGCAGGTCACGGGGCAGACCCAGGTGCCGCACACACGCGCACGCACACACGCACACACACATACACTCACACACACGCACACACACGCACGCACACACGCACACACACACACGAGGCATCTCCTAACTTCACCGCTGCAGTGAACCAATGAGCATGCCGACTAGAGATGTACTCGTGTCTGATGTGGCTGTTGTTCACATTTGCACGCAATAGAAAATCAAATTACCGGGCCTGTTCAATATTGCCACCTTTATTTCAATGGAATATGATAGCGGGCACAGTGCTGGCTCACAGCGCCGTCTTGTGGTGTATTTGTGTAGCACAGGCAACACGTCCAAGTTGATATTTTGTGTAACCCGAGGTGAGAGGCCAGGGATTCCGTGCTCTCATTTGCAAGATCGACCTGGGAGGTCACCAAAACAACAAAAGTTACAGCAACGGAGCAAAGTGATGACACCATAAACACGCAGGCAATGACATGCGCCGTCACATCTGTCCCGCATCCAAGGTCATTTTATATTTTTAGAGCGCAGTCACTCAAGGCGCTTCGCATAGTTTGCAAAACGTTGACAGGATAATAGAATCGTGATTGAGATGGCAGGGGCGCGCTGCAAGGGCCGAGGAATGAGTGACACCGCGATGGAGGGGTGCATGGGGATCGTGACAGGGGTCGTGGGGGGAGGGACGAGAAGCGGAAGAGATTGCGCAACAGAGAAGAGGCAATACTAACATCTTAAGTATTTTTCAACACGCTAGACGCCAACCAAAGATCCCCCGTATAGCCTCAACAGCCTGCTGAGCCGGGCGCTGTCAGCGAGCGGCACCCACGAACGCGCGCGCGATGCGAGCGAACGATCCCGACGGCAGACGTCACCGTGGCGGTTGGGGTCGGGCAGGTCCGAGTCGGGGTTGGGGGTTGTGGGGCAACGAGGGTCAGGCCGCCTCCGTGGCCTCCACCACGAGGATGCCGTCGTGGCACAGCAGGGCCCGCAGGTGGCACGCGCCCACCCCGGCGGGCAGGGCGTGCGCGCGCGTCACGCGGCGGGCGCACAGCCCCTGCGCGTCGAAGCGCGGCGCGTGCTCGGCGCGCAGCAACAGCCAGCCCTCGCACACCTGCAGCAGGACGTCCTCGGGGCGGAACTGCAGCAGGTCCAGCAGCAGGCGGAAGCGCGGAGGGCCCGGCGGGCGGGGCCCGGATTCGCGAGACTCGGACTCGGGAGAGTTGGGCCTCGGAGGTGCGGACGCGCCGGAACTTGGAGTCCCAGATCCCGAGCCGCGAGGTCCTGGAGGTTCTGGCCCTCGTGATCCAGCGTGGGACTCCTGTGATTCACAGTCGTGAATCTGGAGCTCGCGTGGCCCAGGTTGGCGAGACGTCCGCTGTCGGGAGCGCGACTCCTCGCCGGCGGCGGCGGACTCTCGGCCTGTCGGGGATCCAGAAATCTGGGATCCGGATTCGTGCAGCCCAAATTCTTGGGATTCCGCCTTCCTGGGCCCAGACTGGCTCGGCTCCGGCTCACCCGGGGGCCTCGCCGCGTCCACGTCCCGGCGGTCCTCGTCCAGCGCCACGGCCCCGGCAGCAGCGACGCGCGGACCGGGCAGGGCGAAAAGGTCGTGGCGGAGGCGGAAGCGCTCGGGCTCGTCGAGGAGTCCGCTGGCCTCCAGCAGGTCGCCGTAGCGGAGCGGCGTCTCGACCCAGAAGCGCAGGCAGGCGAGCGCCATGGTGCCCGCGGCACGTCCCAGTTGCGTCTCGCCCCACAACTCCCGGCGCGAGTGACAAAATTAGACGCCGCGGCCACTTGACACCGTCCCCCGCCCCTGCCCCGGCTCCCTCACTGCTCAGGGACACACAAGGCAAAGATACCCCGTGTAGCCCGTTACAGAGTGCTGGGGGCAAGTGCTGTTAGCGAGGAGCAGCGCCTTAGAAGGAGGGCACAGCACACGAGGCGTGGGTGGGCAGCGCCACGCGCAGATGCATTCGTCTCCCGAGTGGCGATGTTTACACACCGCACCAGGTACTCATTTGCCGCTGAGTTGACTTAGGGGAGGCCCAGGACCGGTTCAGATAATTATCACTCGTGTTGGTTCGTAGCGCAGCGCGCTAACCGCTACACTACCGCAGGAGTGCAGTGATGATTATTTGAACTGATCCAGGGCCTCCCCGAGGTCAACTCAGCCTTAAATTAGTACACGATACTGTGTGTAAAGATTAGCACTGGGGAGACAAAGGCGGTCGGGCGTGGTGCTGGCCACCGACTCCCTTCATAGGAGCTATTCGCTAACAGCACTTGCCTTAACAGCCTTTTAAAGGCTACATGGGGGACCTTTGTCTTTATGTGTAAGTGTGCACTACGGCAGCGGGAGTGCACTGCTTATCGCGCCGCACTATATTCCCGGCCACCTGAATTCGATTCCCGCTAACGGCCATCATCAGTGACGAATATGTGAACTGGTGCTGGCCTTCAACCGTACCCTGTGCAGTGTGTAAACATCAGCACTCGAGAGACAAAGGTGGCCGGGCGTGTACGCCAGGTTCACTGGAACGTGGCACCAAGTTCACCGGATCATGGTGCCAGGTTCACCGGATCGTGGCGGCAGGTTCACCGGATCGTGGCGGCAGGTTCACCTGATCGTGGCGGCAGGTTCACCGGATCGTGGCGCCAGGTTCACCGGATCGTGGTGCCAGGTTCACCGGATTGTGGTGCCAGGTTCACCGGATAGTGGCGCCAGGTTCACCAGATTGTGGCGCCAGGTTCACCAGATTGTGGCGCCAGGTTCACCAGATTGTGGCGCCAGGTTCACCGGATCGTGGCGCCAGGTTCACTGGATCGTGGCGCCAGGTTCACCGGATCGTGGCGGCAGGTTCACCGGATCGTGGCACCAAGTTCACCGGATCGTGGCACCAGGTTCACTGGATGATGGTTCCAGGTTCACCAGATTGTGGCGCCAGGTTCACCGGATCGTGGCGCCAGGTTCACCTGATCGTGGCGCCAGGTTCACTCGATCATGGTGCCAGGTTCACCAGATTGTGGCGCCAGGTTCACCAGATTGTGGCGCCAGGTTCACCGGATCGTGGCGCCAGGTTCACCGGATCATGGTGCAAGGTTCACGAGATTGTGGCGCCAGGTTCACCGGATCGTGGCGCCAGGTTCACCGGATCGTTGCGCCAGGTTCACCGGATCGTTGCGCCAGGTTCACCGGATCATGGTGCAAGGTTCACGAGATTGTGGCGCCAGGTTCACCGGATCGTTGCGCCAGGTTCACCGGATCGTTGCGCCAGGTTCACCGGATCGTGGCGCCAGGTTCACTGGATCGTGGCGCCAGGTTCACCGGATCGTGGCACCAGGTTCACCGGATTTGTGGCGCCAGGTTCACCGGATCATGGCGCCAGGTTCACCCGCTCAGCTTTATCGGCGCACGACGCGTCACGTGCCGGTCACAAACCCTCGCAGTGGCAAAATTCCAGAAACAGATTTAAATCATTCGACTTTAATTACTTCAGTGTTTCGTTTTTCGCGTTGTTTTCCACTACCCAAGATGATTACGACGTTGTCCAACATTGAAATAAACTCTGGACTCTTTGCAACGTGGTGGCGACATACAGCAGACTTTGTTGTGTTGCGTATAAAAAAACATGAAGATGTTTTTGAAGATGTAACAGGATGGTGTGTCTCCACAGAGACAAAGACACGTGGACAGGCATGCTGACAGACAGCCGCACGGAAAACAGATGGACAGATGGAGATCACTGAAGGCACGGGCAGACAACAGATAGACCCACGTATAGATAGACAACTCAGACGGAGATCCAAACAACAGCCACGCAGAACGACGGATGAGCAGGCGGGGAGATGAAACACGCAGCGGTGACGTCCGCGTGTTGTCCCCCGGGGCTGCAGTTTCCCTCCGGGTCCCCTCTGGCTTCCTCCCATAGCTACAAAAAACAGAAAGACAAAGTTGTGCCGTGTAGCCTTAACAGACTGTTGGGGCAAGTGCTGTTAGCGAGCACCTACAGAGGCCGCACCACGCCGGCCGCCTTTGTATCCCCAGTGGCGATGTTTACTACACACCGCACCAGGTACGCGTTTGAAGCCGAGTCGACCTAGAGGAGGCCCAGGACCGGTTCAGATAATCGTCACCGGTGGTGCCCGTGAGCGGGAATCGAACTCGGGTCGCCTGGTTCATAGTGCAGCGTGCTGACCACTACACTACCGCTCCCTCCCACACACACAAACAAAGCAAGTGGTATTGGACCAAAACATCTCAATGCTGAAAAAATGACACTGCAAATCTACTCAATTGAGATCACGCACAGAGCATGAGTAGCATCAGTAGCATGAGTAGCATCAGTAGCATCATCAGCAGCAGCAGCAGCGACATGGCACCCCATCCTGTTAATAGCTGCAAGCAATGGCCGAGCCAGAATTTTCAGGTAGGGGGGGAAACCCCTCCAGCAATGAAACATGATAGAGGAGTTGTTAGTAAGTGAGGACTTGTTAGTAAGTGAGGACTTGTCCCTTGCTTTTTATTCGACGCGTGTGCGGCGATGGTGCAGCCATCGATCGAGGGTCGAATTGGAGCCGTGTGTGATCGGCATCGCGCTCGCTGAAGGTGTTGATGCCTTCAGGGAAGTCGTGGACTGTATACGCAACTGCGCACAATTCTGTGAGTCACTTATAACCCCACACTCGGGTGTGAACTCCACCCCAATCCCTTGGACCGTGGAGTGCTGCTCCACTCTCGTGCGTGTGGAGTTTTCTCGGGGTGCTCCGGTTTCCTCCCACGTGTATAAACTCACTCGTTCATTGGCTGAATAAATATGAATACAAATCCAATACCATCCTGAAAGAGAGTGCAATCGTTCAGTGTGGCTCTCCTGGATCTAAAAAGAAAGCCTAAGATTAAAAACAAATTAATTTGGTTTGTCGATCTGAGCGACGGCAATAGAAACAGATGGATCTGCGAATCCATCTGCGCTGCATGTTTCTCTGTGTTGCCCGCGTGGAGAGCGGTGGCGCAGCGGTTAGCGCTACGCTGCGCGACGAATCCGGCGAGCCGAGTTCAATTCCCGCTCGCGGCCAACACCCAGTGACGATTATCTGAATCGGTCCTGCGCCTCCCCTAGGTCAACTCAGCCTCAAATGAGTACCTGGTGCCGTGTGTGGTAAACATCGCCACTGGGGAGACAAAGGCGGCCGGGCGTGGTGCTGGCCACCCACCCCCTCGTGCGCCGTGCCAGCCTTCGTAGGTGTTTGCTAACAGCACTTGCCGCAACAGTCTGTTACAGGCTATACAGGGGATCTTTGTCTTTGTTTCCCAGGTTCCTCCCACGTGGACAAACACCGCTGGAACAGATTCACGATTCATTTTCGGGTCAGATCGCGCGAGTAAAATATGTGTCGTGCACCCTCCTTCACCTGACCCTCGGTGAGGGGCTTCCCTAGGTAAATCCGCACAGCAACAACAATACTCATCTTCTTGGTTCTTTCGGTAAAGTCACGTAGAAGGGAAGTAATAAAATAATAAAAATAAAACATAATAAAATAAAATAATTCTTACGACGTTTCGGCCACAACGCAAGCAGCCGTCCTTCACCTGAAGACGGCTGCTTGCGTTGTGGCCGAAACGTTGTGAGAATTATTTATTTTATTATGTTTTATTTTTATTATTTTATTACTTCCCTTCTACGTGACTTTACCGAAAGAACCAAGAAGATGAATCCCTGCAGTCACGAAAGCTTTAAATCGAAACAATACTCATCATGCGGCTCTTCAAGAAGCCGCTTCGTGAAATCATTAATTAAGGACCACCTTGAACAACAAAAAGGCTCTTCTAGTTATTTGGGTTGCCCGCCCCCCTGTTCAACGATAAACTTCTAGCCATTTGTCCGACGGTGCGCGCACGTACCCTACTTTTGCGTCGTCCGGCTAAACAGCTCGTTCTCTTCGTCCGACGACAACGGGGGGTTTCCCAGCTTCGCGGACGCGAGCGGCTTCAGCTCCTTGAGTTTCAGCTCCTTGAGTTTCAGCTCCTTGAGCCACAGCGGCTTCCACGTCTGGGGGGAGGCCACCGCCTTGCCGCGCTCCTGGCCCTCGAAGGGACGCAGCGCACACGCACACACGCACACTCGCACATACAATGCGCACACACGCACACTCGCACACACGCACACACACTCGCACATACCATGCGCACACACGCACACTCGCACATACAATGCGCACACACGCACACACACTCGCACACACGCACACACACTCGCACATACCATGCGCACACACGCACACTCGCACATACAATGCGCACACACGCACACACACTCGCACACACGCACACACACTCGCACATACCATGCGCACACACGCACACTCGCACATACAATGCGCACACACGCACACACACTCGCACACACGCACACACACTCGCACATACCATGCGCACACACGCACACTCGCATATACAATGCGCACACACGCACACACACTCGCACACACGCACACACACTCGCACATACCATGCGCACACACGCACACTCGCACATACAATGCGCACACACGCACACACACTGGCACACACGCACACACACTCGCACATACCATGCGCACACACGCACACTCGCACATACAATGCGCACACACGCACACACACTCGCACACACGCACATACAATGCGCACACACGCACACACATTCGCACACACGCACACACACTCGCACATACCATGCGCACACACGCACACTCGCACATACAATGCGCACACACGCACACACACTCGCACACACGCACATACACTCGCACATACCATGCGCACACACGCACACTCGCACATACAATGCGCACACACGCACGCAAACTCACGCACACACACTCGCACATACAATGCGCACACACACACACGCGCATACACACACACAATGCGCACACACAATGCGCACACACACGCACACACACACGCACACACACACGCGCACACACACACGCATACTCGCACACATGCACACACACTCGCACATACCATGCGCACACACGCACACACACACACGCATACACACACACAATGCGCACACACGCATACACACACACAATGCGCACACACGCACACACACGCACACGCGCACACGCACACTCGCACACATGCACACACACGCACACTTGCACATACAATGCGCACACACACACGCACACACACTCGCACACACACTCGCACATATCATGCGCACACACGCACACACACACACGCATACACACACACAATGCGCACACATGCACACACACACACGCACACACACAATGCGCACACACACGCACACACAATGCGCACACACACGCACACACACGCACACACACAATGCGCAGGTCGCTTCTGAAAAGGAGCTACACACCTCAGTGGGCTTAACCTGGTAACCCCACGGGAACGCGACCTGCAGATATAATTATCATCGTCGTCGTCGTCAGACAAGATATATCCACAGCTGAATAAAGGCTACGATTTCCCGCGCCTCCGGATCTCTCTCCCTCTCTGTCCGTCTTTCTTTCAGAGTGAACAAAAAAAACTGCGCGCGTTCCAGACTCTAAATTACTAAAAATATATATATACCTCAACAAGTGCGGTTCGGGGCAGACGCATTATCATCATCATCATCATGCGCACGGCAACTCACCCCCCTGGGCTCGGTGGGCAGCTGGCTGTAGCCTTGCGTAGTCGACCTGGGGGCAACAGGCAGCCACTCACCACGGCGCCGTTTCATTCCTCGTCCGCGCCCAACGTCGAGTGGCCGTTGCACGTCGACATTTGTCACCCTCGCGATCTTAAATCGGCTCCAGCCTCCCGTAAGCCACGTGTCTCCTGTGATGTGTCCACCCCCCACACTCTGAACGCCGTGCCTCCCATCGACATCTCTCCATCTACTCAATCATCTCGAGCCTCCCGTAAGACACGTGTCTTCAGTGTGTGGCCAGCCCCCACACTCTGAACGCGGTGCCTCCCATCGACATCTATCTACTCAATCATCTCAAGCCTCCCGTAAGCCACGTGTCTTCAGTGTGTGGCCACCCCCACACTCTGAACGCGATGCCTCCCATCTACACCTCTCTATCTACTCAATCGGCTCAAGCCTCCCGTAAGCCACGTGTCTCTTGTGATGTGTCCACCCCCCACACTCTGAACGCGGTGCCTCCCATCGACATCTATCTACTCAATCGGCTCAAGCCTCCCGTAAGCCACGTGTCTTCAGTGTGTGGCCACCCCCCACACTCTGAACGCCGTGCCTCCCATCGACATCTATCTACTCAATCGGCTCAAGCCTCCCGTAAGCCACGTGTCTCCTGTGATGTGTCCACCCAACCCACACTCTGAACGCCGTGCCTCCCATCGACATCTCTCCATCTACTCAATCGTCTCGAGCCTCCCGTAAGACACGTGACTTCAGTGTGTGGCCAGCCCCCACTCCGAGTCCCTCTCCCCGCGGCCCTCTGTGGAAACAAGGCGCCGTGGCTCCTGCGCTCACAATCCGCAGAACAGGCGGAGAACCACAAACTCCACGCTGAAAGGGCGTCGCGAGTCGGGAATTGAACCCGGGCCCCTCCTTGCGGGCCAGGCTCCAAGTCGCTTTGTGCCGCACAAGGACCGCTGCCGCTGGGGGGTGGGGGTGTGAACCTTTCAGAAATGAGACGATGAGATGCGATAATGCGAGTCGCTTGTCTCGTGCGATGCGCTCTTTGCGTGTGCACGTTGAACTTCTTTCGCACCGTACGTAGCCAACCGCGCTAATCGGAGGTGCGGGGGAAGGGACAACAAACTAAGCACACAGAGCAGTTCTATAGAAACGAGTTCGTCAATCTCGATAATGATTTAAAAGGGGCATCACAGCTCCCAGTGGGTTCCTGATATCGGAAGGGAAGAGCGTTCCAGACGGCCGCGGAAGCGCGCCTGAGAGCGCCGCGCGATGCGGTGACCGCCGCTGCTGCGAGGATGAGCGGAGTTTGCATGATGGGGGTGTGTTACTCGTTGACGACATCAGCAGCGAGGTGCCGTGGTTCGGAGATGCCACCAGCCATAGAGGAGAGCGGGTGGCCTCTACCGGACACACAAATCTTTGTGTGTTCGTCGTCGTCGTTGTCGTCGTTGTTGTCATCGTCGTCGTTGTCGTCGTCGTCGTTGTCGTCGTTGTTGTCGTCGTCGTTGTTGTCGTCATTGTTGTTGTTGTCATCGTCGTTGTTGTCATCGTCGTCGTTGTCGTTGTTGTTGTCGTCGTCGTTGTTGTCGTCATTGTTGTTGTTGTCATCGTCGTTGTTGTCATCGTCGTCGTTGTCGTCGTTGTTGTCGTCGTCGTTGTTGTTGTTGTCATTGTTGTTGTTGTCATCGTCGTTGTTGTCATCGTCGTCGTCGTTGTTGTCGTCGTTGTCGTCGTTGTTGTTGTCATCGTCGTCGTCGTCGTTGTCGTCGTTGTTGTCGTCGTCGTTGTTGTCGTCATTGTTGTTGTTGTCATCGTCGTTGTTGTCATCGTCGTCGTTGTCGTCGTTGTTGTCGTCATTGTTGTTGTTGTCATCGTCGTTGTTGTCATCGTCGTCGTCGTTGTCGTCGTTGTTGTTGTCATCGTCGTCGTCGTCGTTATCGTCGTCGTTGTTGTCGTCATTGTTGTTGTAGTCATCGTCGTTGTTGTCATCGTCGTCGTCGTTGTTGTTGTCGTCGTTGTCACCGTCATTGTGACCACTGGGACAGACGCAGGGAGGTGATGGCTCACCCGCGCCGGGAGCCTCCCTCGCCTCGCTTGTTGTGGGTGGACAGCTGGGGGGGGGGGGCAGAGGGGGCGGGAGGGGAGGGGGGTGAGAGGAGGGTGTTAGTACAATACTTATGTTACGATAATTTTTTTTTATCATTTTTATTCATGAAATCATGTTAACCATCTGTATTATTATTATTATTCTGAGCGCTATTGCCGAGGCCCCAATGAAGCCCTCGTGTATGGCTCGTATGGAGTCAATGAAACCGTCGGGAATGCATCTCCAGCGACGCTGCTTTCAGCGCTGCCCACTTCCCCTGGAACGCTTCTCGAGCGCTAAGCGAGGTCTGCCTGTATTCAGATATCGTGTTGCCGTGGCGCTGTCATTGTTATGTTTGTGCTGTTAAAATGCCTGCGCTCTGCTGCACATCAAGAAGAAAATGCAATTGTAATTCGTGCTGTTACGAATACCATCGCAAATGCCACAAGTCAGGTCACCCCACTCGTGTTGTGCGTAACGTGGATAGTTTGGATACTCGCGAGATGCCAGTTTAACGCGTAGTAGCAGACTTTCGCGACCAATATTTTCCATAATGGAGGTTTCTTGGGTTAGATCGCGTAAATATAAATGTGTCGTTAAACCCGCCACCACCCGACACAGCCAATTAGTAAGGTTTGCCACGTAAATAAAACGTGCCAATTCGTTACTAGTACAGCACACCGGTGTGTTGGAGAGTAAACCCATAACATTTACAATTCGAGTACGACGCTTCACCAGTAATTACAACAACGAGCATCATCTATTGCTCGTCACCGCTTTTGTTCTATGCGGCCTCTGTGGACGAACCTTTCCCGCCCGACGTGCTCACTACCGTCGTATCGGTCCGCACTGCCCATGTGATAATCACTCTGCCAGTACCGCCGAGAGCACAAGTCCAAGACCTGGGGCTGGGTGTCTCCGTCTCACTCACCCTCTCTCAGGGGCTCGTGATGGCCAGGCCAGAGCCACTGAACAGACACTGCTGCTGTGGTTCCTAGACTCCAAAATACATCATGGGACCTCCTTTGCCAGTACCCCTTTTTTCTGGCAACAAAACATGTGTTAAGATGATAATTGGTTTTTACCCTTTTATCTGGCAACAAAACTGACACCTTTTTTGTTGCCAGATAAAAGGGTAAAAAAACAATTATCATATTTTTCTACTGGCAAATGAGGTTCCAAAGGTGTTAAGATGTTAAAACACCAAACTGAAACCTTTTACAAGGGATCATGTCTGCATTGACCACATAACTTGTGGTCAGAATGCAAACAAAAAACGTACTCTGATAATAAATGCATTGACTTTGAAACTGATTGGTCCACACCAGAGACAGCTTTCTTTAGTCTCAAACGGTGTTAGACCAGAGGACGCGAGGGTGAGCCATCACTTCCCTTGCCTCGTCACAGAGGCATGTTTCTCTCTTTCTCTCTTTCACCTGAGGACGACCGCTTGTTGTTGCGATCGAAACGTCGTGACCTATTCTTTATTTATTTTCCTATCTACGTGACTTTACCGAAAGAACCTAAGAGTATGAAATCCTGCGGCCACGAAAGCTTCTGACCTGTTTTGTTGCCAGAAAAAATGGGAAAACCTATTCTCACTCCAAAACACAACTCGGTTCCTCGTGCCAAGTGAATTTAAATTCCATTCTCAGCCACAGCCGCCAACGCCTCCACAAACAAGGATCCCTCTCCACGTTACACCGCCCGGCGCAGCATTTTCAACAATGGCCACCCAGCGGAATAAACGCGCGTCCACTGCAGTTGGTCGAACGGCAGGGAGCGCCTTTGGTGGTTGAGAGGCGTGGGCCTACTCCCACCTCTTCCAGCGTGGGAGAAGTCAACCCAAACGCCACCGCCCGAGTGTGGCGCTCGACGGAACGCCTCTTTCCGCCAGCAGTGTCGCTCGTAAGCAATTGCAGGTCTGCGCCTTTACCTTTTCAACGCCCACCCCCATTACCGACCTCGACGACGCAGATGAAGAAGATGATGACGATGGCGCCGACTACGACGCCAATGCCGACGAACAGTATCTTCTGATTGGCGTGCGCGATCTCCTGGTCGTGCGAGCGGGGGTCCTGCACGCACCGTCACAGTCAACGTCCCGGAGTTTCTGAAATAAAACTAGAAACTTTTTTTTTGACCATGTAAGGCTCACAGAAAGGATCTCGGAGGTAGCTCTGTGAGCTCCCCTTCCTCCAGATCCCTTCTTCAAGTGACCTCTGGCCCACGCCTGTAGGGGGCAGCACTTCCCATTCGCTCTGCTTGACAGTCAAACCTCATAATAATTCCTGCAGTCACGAAAGTTCTAAAATTAAGAGTCAAACCTCAGTTGGTGACGGTGATGAAGACGATTGTAGAGGTGGTGGCAAATTTAATGGTGATAATATTATGATGATGGTTATAGAGATGGTGGCGAATGTGACGGTAGTGGTGATAACGATGGCAATTCCGATGACGGTGGTGATGGCGGTGATGACGTTGCGAGTGTGATGATAACGATGGCGGCAATGATGGTGACGGTGGTGATGATGATGATGGCGATTGTGATGGTGATAATTGTGATGATAACGATAACGGTGGTGATGATGATGCTGGCGATTGTGATGATGATGGTGGTAGTGATAACAATAACGGTGGTGATGATGATGGCGATTGTGATGGTGATGATGATGATGGTGGTAGCGATAACGATAACGGTGGTGATGATGATGGTGGCGATTGTGATGTTGATGATGGTAGCGATAACGATGACAGTGGTGACGATGGTGGTGACGGCAACGCGCGATGGTTGTGTGGGTGACCGCACGGTAGGTCCAGTGATCTCTTGAATTCCAAGTCTGTGGAGTATTTTTTGGACGAAATCAATTCCAGTCTCGTGGTGGTTAGCACTGTAGTTGGTGACGTTCTTACCGTGGTTTGTGACTTGGTTGGTGCTTTGGTTGATGTTGTGGTTGTCACTGTAATCGTCACCGCTGGTACCACCGACTTTGGCATCACTTCCTCCACTGATTCCACCTCTGCCAGCACCAATTCCACTGGTGCCTCCTCTGCCAGCACCAATTCCACTGGTGCCTCCTCTGCCAGCACCAATTCCACTGGTGCCTCCTCTGCCAGCACCAATTCCACTGGTGCCTCCTCTGCCAGCACCAATTCCACTGGTGCCTCCACTGGTCCCACATCCATCGGTGTCACATACACTGGTGTCACCTCTCGTCTCACCACCGCCTCTGGTGCCAACTCCGCTAGTGGTGCCCCCTTCCCTGGTGACACCTCCCCTGGTGGTGCCACCTCAATTAATAGTGTCCCTCTCAAATGGTGGTGTCACCCCCGGCGACATCGCCGTGGGGGCTCCGCCACCGGGGGAGAAGAAGACGGTGGCGAGGAGGAAAAGCGGAGCGGCTGTCCTCCAAACTCCCCCCATGGTGCCACTGAGGGAGCGGAGACAGACAGATAGAGAGTGAGAGAGCACGGGGCGCAACCCACTGGTCCCCCGCTGTTCCTCCAGGGCGACGTATGGCCTCGGTGAAGGGGCACAGGAAGTTTCCCACGCTGGGGAAACGCGGCCTGAGAATTGAGAATCGGTGTCTTTCAAGACGATGCAGGTACGCAGTGCGGATGTTGAACTCCTTGCGCACGGAAGCCAACCGCGCTCACTGGAGGTGCGATTAGCACCGTTGGCTACGAATTTCAGTACTGTATTGTGTTTTAATTACACTTTTTTTTTATATACATAACTATTTTGTAACTGTATTATATCATGGGACCGTTTTGGCCAGAATAAAATCATCAAAAACAATAGGTTTTACCCTTTCTGGCAATAAAACTGCTGGTTTTAGATGTTCAAACACCAAACAGAAGCCGTTTGCAAGGAATCGTGTCTGCATTAACCACCCACAGTACTTGTGGTGAACATGAAAACACAACGTGCTTTGATAAAAATGAAAGGTATCCCATGATGTAGCTGCTCACCCCGGCCTATACATGCTCTGCTACGTGGGGCATTGTCTCTGTGCTGGTCGCCTTTAGGCGTTTTTCTCTGGTCTGGCACTGGTGGTGGTGACACTAGGCCATGAAGAAGGCCGCTGGCTCTGGTGTAGGACAATCAACTGTGTTCTGTACAAAAACGAATCCTTAAATACGCACTGAATGTACGTGCACACTTCACCAGAGGTACCGAGTCCTTCCCCAGACCGCACTGACCAGCGAGGTGAAGTATGGTCAAATAATGCCCCCACCGCTGCCACAATCCGCACGGCAGGGCGGGTTGCAGGAGGCCTTCATCCAGCAGTGGATAGAGAACGGGGCTGTATACAAAGTTACATTGCCGTGAATTGAACTTTCAAAATATGACGCTGATCGTTTTCAATCGAGACATTCAAATATCACGCGGAGCTCTGTGTGTGGAACTTAAACGGAGATATTTAACAGGCGACGTTTCGGGCAACAGTCCTTATTACCAGCACGTAGAGAGGCCAGTAGAGACATAGACACTCATTGTGGAACACCTTTAATCTATTACAGTTGTTAATTAGCGCTGCATTAGGTAGGTGAAGGCAGAGGCGCAGCCCTGCAAGAGCTGCCTCAAGCTTCTGTATACAGAAGGGGCCTCCACTAAAGGAGAGCTCTAGTTAGAGGGTATTTGGCCTACTTCTCCTATTGCAATATGTATATATAACGACAAAGGTCCCCGGCATATCCGAAAGAGACTGTAGGGGCAAGTGCTGTTAGCGAGTAGCACGTATGAAGGCCGGCATGGCACACGAGGGGGTGGGTGGCCAGCACCACGCCCGGCCGCCTTTGTCTCCCCAGTGGCGATGTTTACCACACACCGCACCGGGTGCTCACTTGAGGCCGAGTCGACCTAGGGGAGGCCCAGAAACGGTTCAGACAATCGTCACCGTTGATGGTGGCCGTGAGCCTGAATCGAACTCGGGTGGCTGTGGTTTGTAGCGCAGTGCGCTAACCACTGCGCCACCGCTCCCACGGGGGCTCGTCACCGCCGCAGCCCAACACGCCGACTGAGCTCATCTCGTGTGAGAGTCTCAAGCCAAGCAACAACAGCAACAACAACAGCAACAACAACAACAGCAGCAACAACAACAGCAGCAGCAACAGGTGCTATAGGCTGTGGCCGTCAGCCGCGGTGCGGGGCGGCTGTTGTGCTGTACTCACGCCAATCGTCTATGCTGCCCGGCCTTCACCAACCCGCGTACTGACCAGCGTGGTGAAGTATGGTCGAACAACCGTCACCGTCCGCATAGGTGCGGTGGTGGTGGTGGTGGGGGGCCTCCTCATCCAGCAGCCCCAACAACGACAACAACAACGACAACTCCACTAAACTGACGACTGCCAACGGTCGGCAGAGTGGTGGGTGGACGGAAAGTTCCTATACCCGTCCAAGTTCTATTAGCAGCGGTTTCCTTTGGGATTGGGGTATAGGGACTTCCCGCCCATCGTGACAGTATGTGAGTTGTCGGCCAGGGGGTTAGTGGATCACGCCCACATCGTGCACATTGCAACGGCGCTGCGAGGTGGTCAGCATGTGGCAGCACAGCAAGTAGGCTGCTGATATACTCGGCATCGTTGGTTTACACTGTGTGCGTGGCCTGGGTTGTAGTTCCACATTAGAACCATCTTCAGTAAAACAGGCATAGACTGTACAGTCATCATGATGGAGCTATTCCCTGTCCACTGCTGCTTGATGAAGGGTTGTCCACCCCGTGTGCCAGTTGTTGTCGTTTCGCTCTTGGTCATACTTCACCAAGCTGGCCAGCGCGAGTTGGTGCTGGTGTGGAGAGGCGTGGCGCCACTGAGTGGGTGGGTGAGTGGGTCAATAAGTGGGTGGTTGAGTGGATCAATAAGTGAGGTGGTTGAGTGGGTGGGTAGATGTTTGAGTGGGTGGGTAAGTGAATAAATAATTGAGTGGGTGAATGAGTGGGTGGTTGAGTGGGTGAATGAGTAGATTGGTGGTTGAGTGGGTGAATGAGTGGGTGGTTGAGTGGGTGAATGAGTGGATGGATGGGTGGTTGAGTGGGTGGGTGGTTGATTGGGTGGGTGGGTGAGAGATTCAGTGGGTGGATGGGTGAGAGAGACGTCCCCTACGGAGTGGCGCGAGTGGCCGGGTCGTGGGACAATCTGACCACTCGAGGATCGGGCTGCTCGACGTTTAGCGGAGGAAGCACCTCGACACGCCGGTCAACGGAGATTGGGCAATCATCATTTCATTGAATGCACAGCGACGAAAAGGATCGGGTGGTTCCGATAAACATCAATTGAGGTTGTCAGGGGAACTATTCTTATGATTGTTGCTACACGTAAGACCTCATCACCTTCCGGATTCGTCGATTTCACCCGCGGGAAACGGTCTCGAAAATTGCTTCTTCCAAGGCCCAGGTCAAACTGTGTCGCAAAGCGCCTTCTCGTGAACGCCCTGATCCAGGCATCTTCCTTCCAGGCCCGCGAGTCGTCCGTCACACCGAGTGCACCCCCACCCACCCAGCCCCCCCAAAGTGGAACGCGCTGTCGGCAACATTCATGTCAGATAGCAGCAAGCGTGCTCCTGCCGTGCGGCCTCCGACCTCTGCTTCTCATTCCGCGCGACAAGGGAGTCCACACGAGTCCGTCCGGGTAAGGGAACTTTATTGTTGCATTCAACTACAAACACCGACGCTCCTAGGACAGACACACTTGCAGGGCACTTGCAGGGCACGAGCTGTTGTTGTTTTGTATTCAACAAGAGCTCGGTACAAAGCACAGAACGTCACAAGGGCGGAGGGGGCACAGAAAATCCTGAACTCGGTGCTCCTGGGTTTAGGGGAGGGTGGAAAAAAATTGCCCCCCAGGTAGGGACTACGAGTGGGAGCGTGGTTTTTGATGTGGGGGGAGGCAGGGGGGGGGGAGAGAAACACAAAGGGAGGGGTAGCAGGGGTAGCAGGGGTAGCAGGGGTAGTGGGGAGGGTAGAGGGAAGGGGGGGGGGCACATAACTATTAGAAAAACTATTTTATATTTTACCACGTAAGACCCCACTGAGCTACGTAGCTCTATTTCAGAAGCGTCCTGGCTGTCACAAATGATAGCCCAACGAAGTGGCTTACCACGTGGTCAATGTATAGCAGCCAAATACTCTAAACACACTTTGATTCTAAATGTGGAGAGAAATAACGGAGGACCCGGAGAAAATTCCACGCGACCATCTTGCCACCGTGGTGGCAAAATCAACAACAAATCTACGAAACAGAATAACTTACACGGGCCAAGTGAACCTATCGCTGTGACAAAGTGCCGCAGAGCAGTGATTAGCTCCCCTCCATCCCCAGGGAGGACAGGGACAAGTGTTGTTTGACTTGATGCCTCTTATTCCCAGAGCCCCGAGCCTTCAACCCCCCCTCCCCCCAATCTGTATCTTTTGGGTTTTTTTCCCCACATCCAACGCCTTTCTTTAATTAATTATTTCTGTAGGCATGGCCCCTTGACCCCTTGTGTGACCCCTACACTCAATCCTGGCCGTGTCCCCCGCACGGCCCCTACAGTATGACGGGAAGGGCTCGTGATGCAATGGAGACGTGTCGTTTTGGCAGTCCGCTCAGTCGGCCCCCTGCGATGCCGAGTGGAGAAACGCCGCGTCAACCCCTCCACCCCGGCAACGCACCACGGCAGGCAGGTCAGTCTCACTCCCGGGGAGCGGACGCGGGACTCAGATCCAGAATCGTCAACGATTCCTTGTCGTCACCTAAACACAGCACGGGATGCAGAGGGCGAGCGAACGCGTCCCGGAACGAGTGCAACGTCTCCACGGTGTCCGTGCGGTAGAATGACAGCAGCCCCGCGTCCCAGTCCAGGTAGACCCCGACTCTGCGGGGAGGCCGCTCCACGGACAGCGAGGTCTTCACCCCGCCATGGCATGCTGAGCAGCCGTCATCATTTTTCCATAAAATCCAGGACGTGCGATTGGAGCCGAGGCTCGAAGTGCCTCTCCCTTTCCGTGGGAACATCTGATAGGCGACTCCGACTTGGCACCACCCTGGGCCTCCCACGTCCACCTCCCAGTAGTGCCGACCCGACGAGAAGCTCTCGGAGCAGAGGGCTTCGTAGTACCAGTCGATCCTCTGTGGGTGACCATGAGGATGAGCCTGGCTGCCACCATTCCGCGTCATCGTGTGGAGGTCCAAAGATATCTGAAGTTTGTTATCGGCTAAGTTTGGGTCCAGAGTTGGTGAGCAACCATCTGAATGAACAATATTAATACATATATTACATTACAGATGATAATAATAATAACACGAATCTGGTGTGAGAGCAAATATACGCAGAACTTATTCTGTCTCCACATATAAATTAAATGTATTTTTTTTATCCCATCGACCAATTACATATTGGCTTTCTAGACCAATATTATTTAGCAGTCGCGTAAGTCAAAGCAAACATCCTTTAAATGTCAAGATGTATTATGTTGAATTTCTCTTGCACTGTACATAGCAAACCTTGCTAATCAGATGTGTGGGGAAGGACACCAAACTAAAGGCAAAGACGATACCCAACAACACAGACTCTCTGATGTCCGACAGCACCCAAGAGCTTTGCACCAAAGAAACAACAATGCCCAGAGATCTCACTCATTCTGTGACTCAACCACTCGGAATTCCATCAATTCAAAAAGACTCACACAGAGACCCATATACTCACGCAGAGACCCACAGACTAACACAGAGACCCATAGACTCACGCAGAGACCCACAGACTCACACAGAGACCCATAGACTCACACAGAGACCCATTGACTTACACAGAGACCCATAGACTCACACAGAGACCCAGACTCACACGGAGACCCATAGACTCACACAGAGACCCATAGACTCACACAGAGACCCAGACTCACACAGAGACCCATAGACTCACGCAGAGACCCATAGACTAACACAGAGACCCATAGACTCACACAGAGACCCACTGACTTACACAGAGACCCATATACTCACACAAAGATCCATAGACTTACACAGAGACCGGACTCACACAGAAACCCACAGACTCACACAGAGATCCATTGACTTACACAGAGATCCATATACTCACACAGAGACCCATAGACTCAGAGACCCATAGACGCACACAGAGAGCCATAGACTCACACAGAGACTGGACTCGCACAGAGAGCCATAGACTCACACAGAGACCCATCGACTTACACAGAAACCAATAGACTCAGAAACCCATAGACTCACAGAGACTAACAGACTCACACAGAGAGCCATAGACTCACACAGAGAGCCATAGACTCACACAGAGACCCATAGACTTACACAGAAACCAATAGACTCAGAGACCCATAGACTCACAGAGACTCACAGACTCACACAGAGAGCCATAGACTCGCACAGAGCCCGTGTGAATGTGAACTCACACAGAGTGGAGAGCCTGAACTTCTCCACAACTCCACTCAGCCAGCTCATGTCATCAAGCGCTGACAAGTCGCTGGGTGGGGGTGTGGGCGGGGGGGACCTGAGGACGAGAGAGCAGCGAGGACTCCACGTGAGCCCCTTTAGCCAGGTGCGCTCCTATTCCACTTGCGGCAGGTGAAGGGAGGGGCTCATAGGAATATAGGATGATATAAACTCAACCAGTTGACGTAAAGCAGTCCCTCGGTTCACGTTTTTTAATCCGTTACACTAAAACTACGGTTTACCGAAATAGCTGTTAATCGAAGAGAGAGCTGTTTCCACTGCCCAAAACATAAAACGTAATGTAAACAAAGCCAGTCGAGGTCTAAACGCTCATAAATGGGCGTCGCTGATTGGCTGAGGGCACTGCACAGCCCCACTTAGGAGCGCTTGGATTGGCCGAAGTTGGCGCCCCGCGTGCATGACGTAAACACGCTACCGTCAATCAAAATGTTAACGTCAGTCGAAACCGTGGAGCACTATGGGAGGTGGAACGTTAACCGAAAAAACGTTAACCGAAAAAACGTTAACCGATGTCACTGTTAACCAAGGGACGACTGCTTTGGGTAAAGCCCACTGAGCTAATCACTCTTTTTTAGAGGCAACCTGGCCACACATAATAGCTCATATCATACGTGGGAATGTAGAGTAGCGGCCAAATAATGTAAGCGCATGTTGATTCTCAATGTGGAGGACGGGAGCAAAACCGGAGGAGAAACCTGGAGAACGATCCATGCTGAGAGCAGAGAAAGAACACGCGGACTCCCAATATACAACAACAGGCATGGTCAGGGTGCGGGGTCGAACCCACGACCTCCTGCGTACCAGTATTTAATGCAGAGTCGTGAGCCGGGTTCACCTAAGCGGTGTGGAGCAACCCTCTATGTAATGCACACAACTCTTTGATACACAGAGAGAATCTCTCATGGCTCACTTGCTCTTAGGAAGCACTGGCTGGGATGGTCAATCGGCTGATGAACTGGATTTGTTTTTACGCAGAGAGAAGAATTTTAAGTATTTGCATTGACAGGGCACTTGTCGACAACTCAAAGCACCTCGCATCTCACATCGTTGTTCCGTTGGCCTGCTGCAGTCTAGCCAAGGGGACCCCAGAAGCAGCTGACCCTGTGCGGCACAATGCGTATGCAGCACCGGGTTGAACACGGGCAACCAGTCTGCTGGTATGGAGAGGTGTTAAGTAAATTTGCGAGTCACTTCTGAAATGTGGTCAAGTTTGACAGTGTGACGCTGCCGCCACCACCACCACCACCACGGGATCTCACGACGTGTAGCGCACAGCCGAGGGCGTGCAGCGTTCACGGTGCGTCGTGTTGACCAGGGGCGGCGGCTGGGGCTCGAACCTGCCAACCACCGGCGCCCGCTGTTCGTCAAATGCGTCGCGAGTTCTGCTACGTCGTTTGTCAGCTGGGCCGTGTCGCAGGCCAAGAGTGGCTTCGGCGGATGGCGCGACTCATTGCGAGACCAACCCGGCAAACGATTGGATGAACTGGGTTCCTGACTCATGAAATCTCCTCACGTCGCTCGAGCATTCACACCGTGAGCAAACGCGGTCCCAGCCTGGCGGCTGCGTGCAACGAGCTCAGTGCCATACCTGGGCATCATCTTCATATGGCCCTGCGGGGAGAGAGGTTGAGCATTGTTAACCCTTTCCAATTCCGATGGGTTTAGTTCACCGCTGAATCTCAGAAAGTGCAAGCAGGTGAGCATTAATTTTATTTGGAGGCATAGCACCGTTGTTTTTTTAAATCCTTTATATTAAGTTCGCTTGCTTGCTTGCGTGCTTGCTTGCTTGCTTACGACCGTGCAAATCTTTCGGTCGTTTTTTAACCCACTTCCCGTGATCCAATCGAGCTGACATTTTCCACACAGACTCGTTGCTGCGTGACAATTAATTTTCGTGAAAAAAACATTTCCAAAATTTTACACTGTTTAGGGAATTTTTTTGTAAAATATTTAATTACCAATTGCTTAATGCTGGCAGACACTCATCTGACCCATAGGTGGAACCCATCTCAAGCCAGAGGACGAGAGGACTCTAGCCACCACGCATATAAAGGATTTAGAGTGAAAAACTTTGTTTTTCCGGGTTAATTTTTATGACATTGTACTCACCGCAGAGAACTGTAGCGACACGACCACACTCTGAGATACCTGGCGCCAAACTGTCACACGCCCTCCCGCATGGCCTTTTGGGAGCCTCGGTACCGATAGCGTTATTTTATTATCTTTATCGGTTTCGTTCCGATGACATACATGTTAGTACGTCATGGGAAAATGGTTAATAAAATCACATCGTCAATACAGACAGAGGAGTCCAGTAAGATGCCATGTAGACTCAAACTCGTTCAGAATCCAGCTGCTCTCTTGTCTTTACCCTGAAAAATCCCTTTTGAGTATTTGGCTGCTATAGATTTTCACGTAATAAGCCACTTTGTTGAGCTATCATTTGTGGCGAGGCAGCTCAGCGGGCCTTACCTGGTCAAATAAAAATAGTTTAGTTTTACCAGTCATGTGTCGAGTGGACTATAAAATATTGCTGCTGACCCACAAGTCAATCAATGGGTTAGCCCCGCAATATTTCAGAATCAAAACCTTCATTCATACTGGAAGAATCCGATGAGCTATGAAGCTCTTTTTCACAGATATCCAGGAAGTGACCAGAGCAACACCTGCGGGCATGTCCTCACCCGCAGCGCCGTGAGCGAGCCGCTCTCCTGCCCGAGATCCCGCAGGCGATTGGCCGCCGCCTGGAGCTCGCCGACCTCCCGCGTGTAACGAGCGATGCTCTCATCGACGCGGACCAGCAGCTTGTGCCCCGCCAAGTGCGCACGACGCAACAACGCCTCCTCGTCCTCGTGCAGCCTCGCCCTCATGCGGGCGAACTTGCCCGAGATGCGAGCCTTGGACCTGACGATGGAATCCTGCAGAGACGAGCGGTGGATTTTATTCCAAATTCACATTTGGGACCCTATATGTTCACGGATGTGTGCTGCGAGTGTGACTGTAGTTCGTGCTGTTATAAATGCCACGTGTGGGTTACTCTCGTTAGTGTCATGCATTATGTTATTTTGGATTGCTCACTAGATTTCCATTGTATAAAGTTCTGGTTGTTTAATAGTCATGTTTGTAAAATGTCATTCTCTGCAGCTCATGTCAACCTTCCCATGCCATGTAACTTGCTCGCTACCTCGTATCAGCTGTTCAATGCTGCCCCTGTAAACCGTGTATATCACAAACCTGTCAACCGCTTATCAGTGCTCTACCTTTTTACAGACCAATTCAGACCTTATTGGTCACCCCGTGCCCTTACACATCTCAACGTTCATCCTACAAAGTCCCATCACCACAAGGAAGAAACACAAATATACTTTTTGTTGATGTTTCCCCTGGTGATGACACCGTACGTAGCCAACCGTGCTAATTGGAGGTGCGGGATTCCAGACAAAGCAATAAAACGAGCAGAATAATTAACTCAAGCGGAGACTCGTGGCTGGGGTAGTCACGTGCTTTGAGGTGGGTCTCCAGTTGAGTTACCACATCGCAACTTTTACGACTCAAGCAGCAATATCCACCCCAGTGCAATATCCTGTGTAGTTGCCACACACTAATTTTAAGACTCGCAAGGTTCACTAGAATTGATGGATTAGACCTTGCAAGGAGAGTCAACAACTCCTCATAGAATCAGAATCTTTATTTATATTGTAGGAATCCGATGAGCTATAAAGCTCTTTTTCACAGATGTCCAGTGGGGGCACGGGGTAAGAACTTTACAACAACAAACAAAACACACGATAGTCGTGCAAAGGACAAGAAAGGTAAAAAATCACCCAAACGCATACAAATAAAACTAAACCATCCCCGCCCTACCAGGCAAAGCCCACTGAGTTGTTAACTTATTTTTCAGAAGCAAACTGGCCACAAGTGATAGCTGAACAAAGCGGCCCGTCATTTGGACATTTATAGCGGCCAAATAGTCACGGGGCCACGGAGGCTGGCCCAGACCGGGTACCTGCAAGTCCTCGCGTGTGGCCTCCATCCGTCTCACGGTGGCCACCGCCTCATCCCTCTGCTCCTCCACCGCTCGCGTCTCCTCTCCGACCACTCGTTTCTGAAAAAGACGCCGTGGTCGCCCCAGGGCCGCGTGGATTTTGCTCCGGGTCCTCCGGTTTTTAAATCCTTTATATTAACTTCACTTTGCTTGCTTGCTTGCGCGCTTACGACCGTGCAAATCTTTCGGTCGTTTTTTAACCCACTTCCCGTGATCCAATTGAGCTGACATTTTGCACACAGACTCGTTGTGCGTGACAATTTATTTTCGTGAAAATTTTTTTCCAAAATTTTCAACATTTTAGGAAAAAATAAATTATATTTAATTACCAATTGCTTAATGGTGGCAGGCAATCATCTGACCCATAGGTGGCAGCCATCTCAAGCCAGAGGACGAGAGGACTCTAGCCACCACGCATATAAAAGATTTACATATAGTGAAAAACTTTGTTTTTACGGGTTAATTTTTTTCCCTCCACATTTAGAGGCATGCATCGAGATATTTTGATTATTTTGCTGCTATAAATGTTCAAATAATGGGCCACTTTGTTGAGCTATCATTTGTGATAGCCAAGTCGCTTCTGACAATATAAGTTAATACCTCAGTGGACTTTGCATGGTAGGATGGGGATGGTTTCGTTTAATTTGTATGTGTTTGGGTGATGTTAAAAAAAAAATGTAATTTGCGCGACTACCATGTTTTTCATAACTGTTTGTTGCTGTTAACGTTCTTACTCCGTGCCCCTACTGGACACCTGTGAGAGAGAGAGCTTCGCATATCATCGGATTCCTCCCGCAGTATGAACATCTTAAACACCCCGATTGTGAACTCAGCCCACACCTCGCGCGCCTCGTCCTCGCCCTCTTCCTCCACGGTGCCGACTCCGTGACCTCTGCGCCCACCGCCGCCGGGTGACCTCCCGCAACTTCGCTCCTCCGCGGCGTCCACGCCCGGCACGTGGCCACCGAGCACGTGGCCACCGAGGTGGGGCGCGCGTGGCACGGGGCGGCCAGGGGTGTTCGCCGCACGCCCGGCTCGCCGCAGCAGCCGCCGTCGCTCCACCACGCTGGCGAGCGCCACGCTCATCTTCAGCTGCGGGCGCACGGGGAAGACCGCTCGGCACTGCGGGCAGCTGGTCGGGTTCCCCGCGACCCGCCACGCGTCCTCCAGGCACGCGAGGCAGAAGGAGTGGCCGCAGCTGAGCGTCGAGGGGCAGGTGAAAGTGCTCAGGCAGATGGGGCATCTCAAGTCGAGGTCGATGTCTGCCATGGTCGGCGGAGGACGCGGGCTGCGGGTTGCAGAGGCACGAAGCGAGCTGTTGTGAGAAGAGGGAAGTTGACTGGTGTACTGGTGACGAGGCGAGATGCTGGGTACATTTATGACGCCAGGTGATGTGGCAACGACCTTTAGCTTACACACACCCCCTCCAACCACCCACCCAGGCAACTCTTGTGTCAATATAAAGATTTGTCCTGCTAATATCGAGTTCTCGCCTGCATCACACACACAATAAACGTTGAACTTTCGATGCGGCGGATTCATATTTAATGTCGTGTCGGCTTGGCCAGTGTCAACATACTTTACCGTCCGTGATCACGGTGATTATACAACACACACGAAACTCAACACATTTATCAACAACACTATCGCCTTACAAGGCGAAATATATAATCGGCGACGTTTCGGGCAATGATCCTCATTCAAAGCTCATTCTTCACGAGGTCCCGCCCTCTGCGAACCAACGATTGGAGATTCGTGACCCAATAATTGTACCGATGCAATACCCGAGGCTGATTGTCTAGTTTGGCGCTGCACAGAAGACGCTTGCTGTGTTACAAGAAGCCGACTCCCAGGTCCGTGGCCCGTGAGAGGAGGCGCCAATGCTGTTGTTTACAACCACAGCCTGCCGAGCACAGGAGACCAATGGCACGAACGTCAAGCGGCCCGCAACAAACAGCGCGACCAAAGTTTGCGATAATGTAAGACTTGAGGAGGCGGGTGGGGCAGCCCTCTCGCCGAGAAGACAACTCCGGTGTCAGGAGGGACGCCACACCACTTGAAACCATTGTAGGCACCAGAACCGGCCCTAGACCTTTGGGGGCCCTAAGCAAAATTTGGTTGGAGGCCCCTTTGATGTAGGATTTCTTTCACCCACTCGCTAGCAGTGACTCTAGGGGGCCCTCTGCTGGCCACGGGGCCCTTTGCAATTGCAAGGGTCGCTTAGTGGCTGGGCCGGCTCTGGTGGGCACGATGATGATGGTAGTGAGGATGATGGTGGTGGAGGGGTTTTTTCACTCTGTGTGTATTGTCGAGGGCCGCGCTAAAGGCCACCAGAGGCCCGCGAGCCTTCCGATGGAGAGCACCGGCACAGAGCTGCATGGGGCTGCTCAGAGCGGCGGTCAGGGTCAAACATGGTTGCACTGTACTCTGGTCGACCTGGCACTCGCCACGGTAATGTGGACTTTCCAGCCCTGTCCCTGCGTCGTGCCACGTTGAAAAGCAGCACGCTAGTTTAGTGAGGGACGCACGCCTATGGCTGATGACTTAGACCCCCAACGTCTGAAAGGGGTTAAGTTTTAAAGGAAAACCACGTGGGTGTCGCACCCAGCGATAATCCAGAATCCTGATACGGGACATCCACCCCGCTTCTTCCAGGCTGTCACGACCCACGAGCGCTACCCGCGTCTGATTGGCCCAATGGGATCACGCGACACAATCCAAGTCCAGGAGTGGAGTCGCAGATTGCGGATCCAGGAGCCGTGGAGCCGCGATCGCCCGCTCGTCACCTCAGCCATGAGCTTCCCGTCAAACTTGTAAGCTGTAAATCTGAAGTTGTTGTTTTCGGTGAAATGTCACAGTTTGCATTCATCAACATTCTGCGTTTGTATAATTTATGTAAAAAAATTGTCTATGTTTCCATACTCGTTATACAATGTGGGTCTGTTAAGTGACAGTCACGTGACTCGTCTGTGGTTTTTTTTTGTTGTTGACGTCATGTGTCTAGGGCCACGCGCCGGTGACGTCGCGGGAGCGTCGTGACGTCAATTTCCACTTCCCCGCTCCGCTCTTACGTGACGTCACTTAGCAGCGCGACCCCCCCCCCTACACCTCGCCCGCCCGTCCTCCCACTCCAATTGGTCGAGGCCGCCTCGCGCCATGACGCGCGCGCTCCGTCACGTGATCGCGGTGGCCAACGGGGTCGTCGCGGGGCGGGGCCTGTGTCGCGCGCTCCTCGCTTCATCCGCGCAGAGGAGGTGAACAGTCCCAGAGGGCGCGGGACCAGGGGGAGGGGCCATGGGGGGGGCCATGGGGGGGGCCAGGGGGAGGGTGTGAAGCGGCCGGTGGAGCTAAAGTAGTTCCCGACACATTCGTGTGGGGAAAGGCCTTTAGCACGCACAGTGCAGCGATTTTAGTGTTTATCGCAAGGCGATTCCGAGGTAAGCGTGCTTTACGTGCCGATACTACGAAAAAAATGGCTATTACTTGAAACGTCGCTTATAAATATATATTTTTGTTATCTGTGCACCACGTAATATTAAATAATTCGTGGTTATATTTCTGTATCTCTTGTCATCAAGGAGCTGTGAGCGCCGTACGGGATGCAGCAGCCAGACACGCGGCATAAAAATAATATAAATACATTTTAACAACAATTTACTAAATGAACTAAACGTTGATTAAGCACAGTGATAGCATGACGCGCTTGTAGATACAATGCAGTCGACTTGTGCATGCAGCCTTGTGCATTGCATTGCCAGGGGGAAATCGGGGGTAGAAAATGTATCTAAGCGTAGAAAATGTCTGTTTATGTTCGAGAGTTGCTGAGGGGAACATTTAAGAAAGTGAATGTTAGAAGAGTCGCTATTGTAGCGTTGTGTAGAAGAACATTGGGTGAGCGAGTGCCGTGGGAAAACATTGCTCATTAACGCAACGTCGAGGATTGAGTGAAGCCAGCGTAGGTTCCCATTTAAAATCAATAAAAGTCCCGCGTTAATCGTTTTGTTTACGTTAAATGTCACCTTTAAAAAGTGAAATAGTTAATTTCCCTAATTATTTTACTCCAATTAATTACATTGTTGACTTGAGTTCCAAGTACTGTAATGGTCGAACCCTTGTATGTAGAACTTCTTTCGCACCGTACGTAGTGTAGTATGTATAGTGTAGTATGTGTAGTGTATAGTAGTGTAGTATATAGTGTAGTATAGTAGTGTATAGTGTAGTATGTGTAGTGTACAGTGTGGCCAGGGTCAACGGCGGCGTGGTGTATTCCGCAAATATGCCCGACTGTGAGGGCGGGCACAAGCCGGCGTGAGTAGGTTAAACGTTGAGTTTTATAAGGGCACCACGGGGTGACCAGCCCCTCCACACCCAGCCCTCACACCCCCCACCCAGCCCCACCCTCCCGACCCAGCCCCTCCCCACCCAGCCCCACCGCTCCCACTCCCCCCCAGCCCAACCCAGCCCCTCCCCACCCAGCCCCTCCCCACCCTCCCCACCCAGCCCCTCCCCATCCTCCCTTCCCCATCCTTCCTTCCCCACCCAGCCCCTCCCTCCCCACCCAGCCCCTCTCTGCACGACGGACACAATAATCCCCTGTGGGCTGGTGTAACCAGGAGCATCCTACCAGTATTAATGTCTCTGCAATTAGTGTATTGTAACTCTCATAGGTGTTGAGCCTCGTGTTAAATCACTTTATTACACTCGATAAAGGTTACTGTCACTGTGAACATGGGGGGTGGTTACGTCGAATGACTAGAGCCTTGGTGTCATGGTGAGGTTATTCGAAGGCGGTTTAATTGTGGGAGGATAGCACTGAAGGCCTAGGTGGTGTAAAATACACGGCCCGTCACTGGTGCTGTGTAGTATGTGTACTGTATAGTAGTGTATAGTGCAGTATGTGTGTATGTTGAACTTCTTTCGCACCGTACGTAGCCAACCACACTAATCGGAGGTGTGTGGGGGGGGGGGAAGGACACCACCACTAAACACTGACCCAGTTGTAAAGAAACGAGTTTTTCAATCCTGGCGGTGATGATTTAAAAGCGGACTATTCCAGTGGCTTCCTAATGTCGGAAGCAAGAGCGCTCTAATCGGAATGCTTTATTTCGACTGCAGGAGGAGGAATCCGATGAGCTGTGAAGCACTTATTTCACAGATGTCCAGCATGGGCACGGGGTCAGCGAGTTAGAACAACAAACGATACAAGAACTTGCTTAAACACGTAGGCTTTCACGAACAATATGCATAATACAGGTTTTTTGGGTTAGATCGTGGAAATATATAAATGTGTCGTTAAAACCCGCCACCACCCGACATAGCCAACTAGTAAGGGTTGTCACGTAAACAAAACGTGCCAATTCGTCACTCGTACAGCACACCGGTGTGTTGGAGAGCCAAGCCACAATTGTAAATGTTGTGGCTTGGCTCTCCAACTAGTAACGAATTGGCACGTTCTGCTCACGTGACAACCCTTGCTAGTTGGCTGTGTCGGGTGGTGGTGGGTTTAATGACACATTTATATATTTACGCGATCTAACCCAAAAAAAACTCTCATGGATGATACAAAAACGTAACGATAAGAGTGCAAAATAGATTAAAAGGTAAGGAAGCCACTAAATATGAATAAATACAAAATAAATGGATAATATAAGTTCGATTTATCAAGCAAAAACAAGAAAACAGTTCCAGACCACACCAAGGTCACACCACACAGTCCCTCAATAGAACTACACATCAACATTGATACTACACAAGTACGGATCAGAGTTACAAATCGCATGAGCAAATGTGACTGCCGTATCCAGCACTACTCTGCTTCAGAGTAGTTTTTTGAGGGAAGATTTTCGAGCGAGGAAGCCAGGTTAGAACCCACGGGCTTTGCCGCACCACGTGTTCCACCAGCGATCGCTCCCGAACATTCAGCCAGTGTCACACCAATAACCCGTGTCCCTACCCCCCCACACCACCACCGCTAGGCTGAGCAGCTTCTTTGGCGGCACGATGCCGGCGGGAGACACGGCGGGGCTGGACGGGCGCCAGGTGGAACTGCTGGCCGAGATGTGCATCCTGGTGGATCGGGACGACGTTCCCGTGGGTGCCGACACCAAGAAGAACTGCCACCTCAACGAGAACATCCGCAAAGGTCCAGCGGCGCATGCGCGCCACCCCCCGCGAGCATTTCCATTTCACAACTTTCCGTATTCTCCGTGTTATGAGACTCGCCTTTCTCCCCCGTGTGTTTTGATGGCAAATTTGGGGGTGGTGCTTGTAATCTGGTAGGTGTGTGGACGTCCTGCCACGGTGGCGAGATGTTATCTACCTCGCCTGGTATGCAGGAGGCAGTGGGTTCGATCCTCACCCTGACGCCTGCTGTATATTTGGCGTGTCTCTCTCCCCGTGGCCGTGTGGATTTTTCTCCGGGTCCTCTGGTTTTTTCCTCCACATATCATATTTGGCTGCGATAAATGCTGCTATAAATTTCAACGTGATGATAAACCACTTCGTTGGGCTATCATTTGTGGCCAGGTCACTTCTGAAAAGAGCTACATAGCTCAGTGGGCCTTACTTGGTAACATAAATAAAAATTAGATTTTTTTTCAAATAACTTCATTGGCACCGGGCACAAGTTTCGGAGGTTGGCGTCTAGTTCGGAGTACGCCGTGGTCGATTGGGGTCGAGTGGTGGCGCTGCTTTTGGCACACAGCGGAGGGCGTGCGGGCGGGGACCGAACGGTGCTGACTTGAGTGGCGTGTGCGTGCGTCCGCTGTGCAGGCATGCTGCACCGAGCCTTCAGCGTCTTCCTGTTCAACAGCAAGAATGAGCTGCTGCTGCAGCAGCGCTCAGACGCCAAGATCACCTTCCCAGGTGCGTGCACCCTACGTGCGCTGTCGACACGGCGCTCCGTTCATCACAGGGGATCTTTGAGTGCTGTCCCCTCGTTTCCTCGGTTTTCTCCTAAGATGTGGGTATCGGTGCGACTGTCTTGGAAAAATTAATGCAATGACTGTCATTATTATTACACCATTGGCTGTCCCTGGACATGTGCAGGAGGTGGGGTTAGGGGTTGGTATAAGGATTGTGAGTGAACTAGTATTGGTGGCTGGTTTACAAGTTGGTTAGGGGTAGAGGTATGTCTAGTACGAGTGACTGGTGTTGGCTAGTTGGTTAGTGTGTCTAATACTTGTGGCTGGTTGGCGAGTTTGTTCAGGCCAGGGGTACATTCTCTCTGTGTCTCTGTGCACACTGCTGCGTGTTGTTGCTGGCATGTCCCTGCAGGCTGCTTCACAAATACGTGCTGCAGCCACCCGCTGCACGTCGACTCGGAGATGAGGGAGGAGGCGGCGCTGGGAGTGCGGAATGCGGCTCAGCGCCGGCTGCACCAGGAGCTCGGCATCCCCATGGAGCAGGTGGGGACACGGGCTGATGAGGCACTCTTGTTCCCGGGTGCCACGGTGGCGAGATGTTCACTACCTTGCCTTGTATACAGGAGGTCGTGGGTTCAATCCAGACACTGACGCCTGTATATCTGGAGTTTCCATGCCTCGCTCTCCCCCCGTAGTCATGTGGATTTTTCTCTGGGTTTTCTAGTTTTTCTCTCCACGTTTAGAATCAACACGCGTTTAGAGTATTTGGTTGCTATAAATTTCCACAAAAGCCACTTCATTGAGCTATCATTTGTGGCCAGGTCGCTTCTAAAGAAGAGCTCTATATCTCAGTGGGCCTTAACTGGTAAATTAAAAACGTGTTTAGTATATAATTTAGTGGAGGAGAACGCTGGTGGTGGTGTTTAGCCAATGTTAGACTGGGCATGGAGTAAAGTTGGACCAATCGTCCAAATTTTATTTTGCCTTTGTTCAACGAGCTGGGCTGAGCATGCGCTGTTAACAGCAGCAGCAGTAGACACCAAACGCTTCCTCGCCTTGCTGCTACGAGCCTCTAACCTGCAGCCAGCCATGTATGAGCCATTCTCCACAGCCTGCAGCCTTCACAGCAGGAGCAGCAGTCACCGACCCACCACCACTCTTGACTCCCACAGCCAGGTGCCCTGTGTGCCGGCAGCGGTGGTCTTCTCCCGATTGTGTGCCACGGGGCATTTCCAAAACGTTGCAGAATTTGCAACGCGCACGGCGGTGCGGGATAACCCACGGGCAAGCGAGCATGCAACCAGAGCCGCCACAAACAGCTGCCCGAGCTCCGTGGTCCGATATTTGGACGTTTGACCAATGTCTTCGTCGTGAATCGGCAGGTGACCCCGGAGGAGCTCACGTACCTGACGCGCATCCACTACGAGGCTGCGTCCGACGGGGTGTGGGGCGAGCACGAGGTGGACTACATTCTCTTTGCGCGCAAGGACGTGGAGGTGACGCCCGACCCCAACGAGGTGCAGAGCGTGCGCTACGTGACGCCGGACGGCCTGCGCGAGCTGCTGGCACGCGCGCGCGACGGCTCCGCCCTTGTCACGCCCTGGTTCCGTCTCATCGCCGAGTCCTTCCTCTTCCGCTGGTGGGACAACCTGCACGACCTGGAGTCCTTTAAGGACCACGCCACCATCCACCGCATGTGATGCGGAAGGCGTGGGGGCGAGGAGAGCCCCGGGGCAAACGGAAAGGCCCGCCCGATAGGCCCGTGTCTGGCGATTACGAAGCAGTGGCGATTGTGCGAAAGGGTCTGAGAGGGGGGGCATGGGTCCACCCCCTCACCAACCCTCACCAATGAGCAGCAGTGCCCCCCCCCCCCCCCCCAAAGTGCCTCTTTATTCAGAGGTAGATTCTGAAGAGCAACCGGGTAAGCACGTGCGCTAAGAAGTGATCCCGGTCGATGCTGCTGCTGATGTCACCACACCTCATTGTTGTTTCCTCTACTCTGCCACAGAGTGACAAATTAGACACGAGACATCAGAGTCTCCTTGTAGTACCATCAACACTTTCTGGATTTAGGTTTTCCACTCGTCACGTGGTTGGCACGTCCTTCATTGACAGCTGTACATTTCCATCGTCATTATCTTCATGTTGAAAGGCCGCTTTTACTCCCATCACCAACAGCACCTGGTTTTTGGTCATCTCTTCCCCTTGCTTGCCGACTTCCTGGAAGCCACCCAAATGCCCATCTCGGTCACCTGCACTTCTCCGTCCTGCACATGCACCTCACCATCATGACGTCCTCTTCCTGATCACTTCGTGTTCTATTCCCAACCTCAAAGTTACGTACCCTCTCCTCCATCCTGCGTGTACGTGTCTCACCTCTTTCCCGAGTACACCCACAACCTTTTTTTATATCGCGTTCTGTTCGAACTTTCAAGTCGCTTAATCTGTCCTATGATGAATTTGCTGGCATCCTCCACATTGTTTATGTAGACACCATCATCATCATCATCATCGCGGCACTATCCACTGCTAAATGAAGGCCTCCCCATACCATTGCCATGTCACGGCCTCGCGATGGTATAATGAAATCCAGCATCTCCGCTTATGCGAATGCAATCTCCTGTGGACGTCTTCTCGAACGCGTTTCCCTTCTTAAGCTGCCTCTCTTTCCGTCGTCTAAGCCCATCATGCCTTCTGCCAAAGCCCACTGCTTACTGGTCTACATGATGTCTTTTGTCTTGGGTGTGTCCTCTAATCCACGTGTTCCTCTTCCTACTCTGTAACTTCGAGCGTGCGCAGCTCTTCCGTGCTCCTTTGCGCCCTCTTCATAGTTGTAATATGCACAATGCATCTTATTGGCCACAAACACAAATGCTTATTTGGTCCAATGAAGTTTTACATTGAGGATTGGGTGTATAGGCGAGTGCCTCCCCTGTCCACCACTGTTTTCTGAATCAACAGCTGCTGTGGAATGAGTCGGCAGTTTTACCCCAAGCCCCGAAGCTGGTCTTGTCGTTGTCGGTTTACGTAGATTTAACTTTGTGTGCGGATGTTTTAATCGCGGATGAAACTGATTTGTCTCGGCCGATTTCTTGAAACTACTAAACTCGCTGCTCGAGTAATTTGAAGAAAAGTTACCCGTAAATTACTCATTCTACGGAGCATTCATCGCCCTGCCACTGCGAAAGCTTGGCAGGACCCTCCTGAGAGAGTCTGAGACTCGGTAAGACTTTGAGCGTAATCCTAATAACATTAACCGAGACGTTTAGACTGAACACGAGGCTTGCGCCTTGGCATTTGTGTACGAACGCCTACGGTTTCTGTTGAGGCGACGCGTAAACTGCAGTGGAGAAGTCTGCGGAACACTCCGCACAATGTCGATTAAAGGGTCTCCAAGCTCGTGGGAGCTTGGAGACGATGCTCTTGACCGTTCATGGTCAAGAAATTCAACATTCTTATGGCAATGGCCAGTCCATCTCACGAGAGGATGATCATCAGATTCTTCGAGGTGCCTCACCTCTGCGCATGATTGTGCCTCTTGTCAAGTTGCAGGTGGTTTTTTTTGTTTCGCGGTTGCTGAGCATGGCCGGCAACCAGCGGCGCTCGTGAAGGCGTCATGGATTCGAGTTTGCGTTTCTCAGATTGCTCCGGGAGCTTGCTTTGTTTGTCTTTGGAAGCTTGGGAAAGAGGAGACGACGGGAGAGTTTTAAACTGGAGTGGAGCTTGGAAAGCAGCGGAACCCGAGTGGAGTTGGGTGGCTGAACATGGTGTGGAAGAGGCAAAGCGGTCGGTCCAAGTAGATCTTCTCTCCCCCCCCCCCCCCCCCCGCTGTTAGGCATGGGGGTGGTAGGGATCGATAGCCGTTCATGGGAAGTCACCATGGTGGTAGCTGCAGAAGAGGTATGCACCGAGTGTGAAACGTGTAAGAGGCTCGTGTACTTTATCCGTAAGACGTTGCAGTCTTGTCAGAGTTGGGTGTCAACAGCTTGGCTGCAATCACCTACAACAGCGGTGGCAGTAATGGCAGTAATGGCCTGCACTGCCCGGAGCCGATTTCCAAGTGGCTGAAAATGAGGTTTCAACATACGGCGGCTTGTGTGGCTGTTGCAGGCAGCCGTGAGAGGTGATACGGAGCGATGAGCCTCTTGCCCCCCGGCTGTTCCCTATTGGGGAATTGTGTAGGGGAAACGTGTGGAATAGGGCTTGCCTCCTCTCCAATGCATAATGCTTAAAATAGAATGTAAAGAATAAATCTTTCAACACGGTCCTGCTTCCGAGCCTCCACGAACGGGATTGAACATGCGAGGGTTCATGTTAAGTGTGGTTTAGACACGAACTAACAAACCTGTCATGTCCCTGGTGCTGGTGAGATGTGAATGCCTCACCTGGTGTACAGGTCGCTGGGTTTGAGCCAGACTCAAAGACATTGAGTGCTCATTTTACAACTTGACATTGGAACAGACAAACTGCAGCTCGACACCGCTAAGTTTTATAATTTGAGAAGTTGCAACAAGCCCTTATTGGCGTTACCCAACAGCGGTCATCAGCCTGCCGCCCACCACCATCAAGACCACTCGCTGGTCTCCGCTCCCAAAAACAACTAACGTTGCCAAGGCCACACTACACAGATCACGTTTACGCCTCAAGTCAGTGTGAAGCAATGCCTTTCATGTTGTGTTCTGTTTGGCGTGTCACGTTATGTATTAATGTATCGGTCGCTGACATTGCCCGCACACAATGTATCCTGCACAGGATCCATGCCACCCCCCTCCATCACCGCAAACCCACGGGGTTGAAAATGCCCCCCCCATCAGATAAAGGTGTGAAGGTAGCGTAAGGAAACGCAGTAAGGAGCACACGTATATACATGTTTTTTTAATTGTCAGCGGAGCGATACAATCACGCACCACTCCGAGGCACGGTCACACAAACACATTTGTCATATTTCATTGGGTTTGTATTTTGCGTCATCTGCTTCAGTTTCGTCCTCTTGTTGCCCACCGCATCCAGCAGCACTTCTGACCATCGCTGTTATACACAGGGCAAAGGGGCAGGAAACTGATCCTGAATACAATCACGTACTTGTTTATAACTTTGATAATGTTATTGTTATTTTGCGTTAATGTTTTTGTACGTTTTCCGTCATTACCAACTGCCCTATTCAAGACCTGAAAGAGAGACAGGCAGCACTAATACAGCCTTCCAATTATTTACACGCACACACTCGAAGAGGGAGGGAGGGGGGGGAATAAAACCGAAACTCAAAAGTGTGAAGTTATGCAAGTCAAGCAGGACACACAAGCAACAACCCTCGCTCAGCCCTCAAGTCGAGCTCGCCCAGCCTGCAGCACACTCCAATGTAGTCCACGGGTCAGAGCAGAACTGGGTTACAACCTGAAAGAGCCACAATTTCGTGGTACCGATTTATGAGTATTGAGACGACTATTGATAAACACCATTTCTTTTAAAATGGTTATCACATTTTGCACTTTTGGATGGCCACGAAAAATTATTGGAACCCAGTCGAGTAATGCCACCTCAGGTGGGTAACCGTGCAGGTGAGATCTGATTTGGGCTCATGAACTAACAAAAGCCCCCCCCCCCCCCACGCCGTTTGAGTAGCCGAGGCTGTGCAGCTGCACCCAAACAGAGGCCACCAGGCACATGGAGCCCAAGGTCAGCTCAAGAACAATGGGGCCCGCATGCTCGCCATGCCACTCGCAAACAAGTCCAGCACATTTACAAAGTAACGACCAGACGGAAGCTCGTGCTCTGACGCAACGCGCAGCGTTGGGCTCAGGGCGAGCCAGGCTGGACAGGTCGTGTGCACTGGCTCTGCGTGCGCAGCCGCATGCAATGGGTCTTGCCACAAGAGAGCAGTGGTTACAGCCTGTCTGGACCTGCAGGACCACAGCCAACTCCCAAACATTCGACTGCGGCCTGTCATGCACCAATAATATTTCAACAATCCAACGACGGTACTCTGAGGGCTGTACAATGTAAATGGCAAAAGCCAGATAAACTTAACTCTTTCCTGTTCCAAAATGGTTGCAAGTTGCAGGGTGGGTGTCCCGCTCACCGCCAAATCTCAGAACGCGCAAGCAGTTAGCGTTAATTTTATTGAGCAGCGTTTTTAAAGACATTGTACTCACCACACAGAACTGTAGCGACACGACCGCTCTTGATATCTGGCGCCAAATTGTGCCGCGCCCTCCCGCATGGCCTTGTGGGAGCCTCGGTACCTGTCAGTATTTCTTCCGACGACGTACGTGCACATCGGAACGTACACGTACGTCATGAGAATGGGTTAACTTACTCTTTATTGGCTCATGTATCATTTAAATAGTTGTGCAATTGGCAGGAAAACATTACTGTGCATCTGAAATCGTTTGGCGGACCACTTCTCACGGCATCACTGACCACTACGGGTCCACGGGCCACAGGTGTGGTGGAACCATGCGCTAGAGGTCACCTTTATCATGCAAACTGGCTCCCACAGGGCTCCGCTGAGAGCAATTAATACAATAATCCGTTACACCATGCAAGATCAATGAGACTTCAGTGCACCAGCCTATGGGCCTTCTGCGCCGGCGCACGGCAGGTCTTCAATGTTGCGCCGTGCGGCTTTACACGCTACGTGAAAGTTCTGCACCAAGTCCGACGTTTCGCTTTACATGCTGGGAGCTTCCTCAGGAACTGAACTTCAGTTCCCCAAGACAAAGCGACAACACGTCGGAGAGCAATGTAAAGCCTTGATTTGACCATTTTCTATTCTTGGTTCTTTCGGTAAAGTCACGGAGATAGAAAATAAAAATAAAAGCAAAAAACCGCCGCACAGCTTTGCTCACTTTGAAAGCCCTTATAAGCATATCAAAGTGAGCAAAGCTTATAAGCAGTTGCATTTGGAGGCGATCGAAACGTGGTTTTTTGCTTTAATTTGAAAAAAAAATTCTATCTCCGTGACTTTACCGAAAGAACCAAGAATATGAATTCCTACAGTCACGAAAGTTAAATAAAATTTTTACCATTTTGCCTTTGCAGACTGAACATCTTGTTGATTTGACTGGGGGTGGGGGCGGTTTAAACCGCTTGATAACTTCGCCTGCTAACGCAGATGCTGCCAGAAAACAAGGGATGGTGATGCCGGTACGCATGCGTTTTATTTTATCTTTACATGGTGCCGGACAGACCGGTGACTGCCCGCTTTCAATTTGCTGAACTCGCTGTGCCCACAATCACAAGCGCACAATGCATTGTGGAGTTCAAGTGAATGGGGAACTGTGGAGCGGGGGGGGCGCGAGGTGGTTGAGAAGGCAAACTTGGTTCGTTCGTTTGATTCGCAGCCACAAAGCAACGGGCCACGGGCCAAACTACGATTCGGTTCGCCGCAAAGTGGCGAAAATTCAGCAGGTCACAATTGATCAAAACAGCCGACAACACTGAGTTTGTGATAACACGTAGACGTGTATAACGGTGATTTACAGACGAAAAGCCGCCTTGCGGTGTGTGCTGGTCACGAGGGTCGTTTGACCGAACTTCACCACGCTGGTGATGGAAATTGACCGCAGGGAGCCGGGTTCGTAGAGATAATCTCTGCGCGACCACTCCTAAGTTGAAGAGCTTATCAAGTATTTGTATCGGCTGTGTAAAGAGATCATAAACCACTAAAGTTTAGCCAACTCGAGTGGCACTTGGCAGGGCAGACGTTCAGTCTGCACCCGCTGACTGTTGCAAATTGGTTACGTCACAAATCTTATCGAACATTAAAGCCTCATTTGTAAGCAAATCGGTTTATCGGCTACGCTTTGACCAAACCGTGGAGCGAAACGTCACGACAGCATGCAGAGCAACACCCAGTTGCAGCAACCCAAACACACGGCGGGGCACCGTGCCGCGACCGCCAAATCCCACGCAACCGTTGCGACACCGCGGCCGGTCAAGCGGGCGCGTGGCGGTGGTTGAAAGGTCACTGAGGCGAGGTGAACTTTAACCCTCGGAGAAGTCAGACGCCCCATATAGGTGGGCCGCGCGCACACAAACACACAATCAGCCACTAACAGCACACACACACACAGCCACTCACACACACAGCCCCACATTCATTGGCTTCGAGCAAAATAATCATAGCGGATACACGAGAGCCATACAGAAAGGTGCGAGTTACAGAGCGTACACACGCGTGTACGTGCTTGTACAGCCACACTACGCATACACGCATATGCACATCACGCGTCGGCGTGCTTGAGTATAAATATACAATCGTGTGCACGAGAGGCGGCGGAGGCTGTTTTCTCTACAACTATTTGCAACCGCTGTGGTGCAGTGGCAACATGCCAGAGTTTGATTCCTGGCCGGAGCAACCGTCACGTCCCAGCGAGCATTGGGCAGTACCGGTTGATAACCAGTCGTGGAAATTCCACATTCCCATGGCAGAGACGTCCATCCACAGGATGAGCACTGTTAACATCTCTCAAAGGGATACCACCTTGTGCTGCATGTGAGATGAGGAGGACTGCACAGCGAGACGCCCAGGGAGGCGTCCGAGTTTGTTGCTAGGGGCCAGCGACAGAGCGAGCACTTGCCGATGATCCAGGGTTCGAAACCGGGTTTCCGACATCGCCCGTGGGTTTAAAGCGGGTTCGCAAAACGAGCAGCGAGTTGACGAAGTACAGAAACCCAGAACCCCCCACATTTGAAACGTTTCTAATTCCCGCACAGAGTGGGTGAAAGGCATTCTGTCCGTGAATGAACGCTTGCTTTTGGTTCGACTTCCACGTGAACAATGCATTTCTCACGGGAGAGAGAGTGGGGAGCCCAGGTGTGGTTTGGGAATTGAAGGGGCCTCCGTCCGATATCCGGCGTCCACAGGGCATTTTCTCACGCGGGCGTGGTGCACTGCTCACCGCGAGAGTTCCGTATTGGAATTTATTTGCCAGGCAGCAACGCGCCGATGAGTAGAATTTGAATGGGAAAACGCGGAGAGCGCACCGCTTTGAGTGAACCCTCATCGACACCGACAAAACGCGTTCACCACCTCTCGCACACAAACGCTACAACGCGCGCGCGCGCACAATTCTAGGACGTACGCAATAAGTACACACGCACATACATACGTATCGGCAAACGCACGTCATGTGTGTGAACATTGCATTAACAGGATGGGCATGGGGGGGGGGGGGAAAGGTGAAATTAACACAACAAAAAAGAAGAAAATCAGGATAAAGAAATTAATAAAACATTCCAAGCATTTACGCCGTGCCAAAACGATTTCCGCAAACTACGCGTGACGCTCGTATGTACAGTGTATATATTACAAAGGCAATGCTCTTCTGCCCTCATCCCCAGCGCTAATTCCCCATCGTGCATCCTGGGAACACATGGATGCACGGGGAGCCCCCCCCCCCCCCCCCTGAATTTGCATCCGGCAGCACGTTCACTTCGCCTGCTGCTGCTGCTGCGCGCTGGCTGCGGTGGACAAGGCAAACTCGCAAACGTCGCGGACTGCACCACGGCTGCCCCCCCCCCCCCGTAACGGGCACCGGCTCGCCCAACGGATTTGCCAGGGGCCAAAAAGTGAACACCGGAAATGAAAGAAAAGCGGTCAAACACGGCCGGGGCACGGGCTCGAGGGTGGTGCAAACTGGCCAAACGGCAAAGATCTCCTCCGCCTCAGCCCTGCCCAGCACGGCCACGACGTGCCGCCCAGTGCTCTCGCCGACGCGAACCAACCAATGGCGAGCGGTAGACCTACGCTTAAGCCGAGCCAATGAGTCAACACGAGCCACCCACGGTAGACCTCCGTAACCATAACTCGCCAACGGGCCCACAAGTGCTCTCGCACAGCTCGTGACTCGCGGTAAACCTACGGCGAAGACTGAACCGACTCGCCAACCGGCCACTCGTTCGGGCGCTCTGACCGCAACCAACTGGGCAACCGGCCACTGGTACGAGCCCCAGCGATGGCCGTATCCCAGCCCCACACACCACCCCAGTGTCCTGCCACACCCCGGTCACGTTTTGATCGCTCGTCAGTTCCGGTGTTCAAGAGGCACATTCTTGCGCCCTTGCAGCCGTCCCCCCCGATCTCGTTGCTGCTGCCACGGGGGGCGGCACGCCACGGCACACGAAATCCGTCGGAGGGGAAACGAGAGAGACACGCGTGACCTCGCGTTCGTCGGGCCTTCTCGGGCGGCGGCCACGCCCTCGCTTGGGACAGCGAGTTGAGGGGGGAGGGGTCCAGGCT